TGAATTATCCAATCCAACATTCCCGTTTTTGCCACCTGTAGTTGATATAACATATTAGAGTCAAAGAATTAAGATAGAGTTTCATAAATGTTGTTAATTAAATTTATCGGTGTTATTGATGTGTTAAAAAATTTTAAAAGCTTCAAAAATGAAGATATATATAAATAAAAACATAATACATAAGCATATAATACACATTCACATACAACAAGTGCACTGTAAGCCACAAACTAAATTGTAGTAGTGTTTAGCGAAAAAACACTACTTTATATTTGGTGTTTGAGTCACAACTACATAAGATTCAATCACCGACTTAGATCAAAAAACAACGCCATCAATTTTGAGGGTAGTGGAAAAAACGTACATCATAGACAAAACGCGTCACAAGATAAGGGTGACTAGGCCATAGTCAACCACGCTGGCAAAGTGCGGGTTGGTTGACTTCACACATATCTTTGAATTTCTTCGCAGACATGTGCAGGTTGCATCACGATGTTTTCCTTTATCGTAAGAACGTCAGGTAAATGTACATATGAAATTCAAAAATCGAAAAACACATTGGTACATGGTGGAAATCGCCACCGACGCTCTAGAAACAAAAGGTACAGATAGAAAAAAACAAGAAAAAAGGGAAAGGACGGGTGGTCAAATTGCCAAATGGAAAATAAAAAGTGGCGTATTCATAAAGTTTTGATGTATATTAAGAGTCAAATGTAGAACAATGTGTCATTCTTTCATGTATTCAAGGAGGGCCAACGAGTAACTTCTTTAGTAACTAGAGTTTTCAATTGATTATTATTTTACTCCATTTGCATTTTCTTTTGGTGTGTTTTTTTTTAATTTTAAATGATTTCTGTTTCTAAACTTTTCAAGTTTTTAACAATCGTCATTAATCTTTAATTTCTTTTTTCAGAACATTTTCAATGTGTTTTTCTTTTAATTTCGCCTTTAGGTTGCTGCCACTGTAAACAAGATCAGTGGTCATTGGCGTATTTCAAAATGAATTAAATAGAAAGCTATAAAATGTATTTCTACTGACCTGTTAGGTTAATCGTTTAAAATTATTGTTCGGTCTCTCAGTCATCATCCGCTTCATGTCATGGACGGGAATTCTAAACAATTTTGTTACTATGAATTTCCACTATCATAACACAAGTGTAAGAACATTTTTATTATCTATACAACATTGTTTTTATACAAGTGTCAAGACAGTGGAAACTCACCGTTGGTGATCGCCCAAGCTCATCACTTGTCTCCATCTGAAAGACGAAATAACCTTCAAGATAATACACAGACAAGCAAGGTTTTCTCTATGCAGTGAAAGCTCTTTATTCCCGGGTTATTACTCCTTAAATATGCCGCAAATACAGAATCGGTGAATACGGAATGGATTTTTTTTAGGTAAAGTTGTTGTAAGATTTGTTTTATTATTTTATTGGACTTTTTATTATTATGTATGTACTGATTGGAACCGCATATAACGGAATCATTTGTCGCGAATAAAGGAATTGGGTCGTTTTTTGTTAAACCGCGCATAAGGAGCTTTTACTGTACAGTACTCTCTAGTAAAAGCTCCTCCTACCATTGGACGGTACGTCTAATATGTGTCAGCATTTAAAAATATACTACATTTGAGTAAAAATGTTGCTTTCATTCTGTTTAACATTCTCCAAAACACTATATGTAATGTTATTGTAAGATTGATTCAAGACTACGCATTAAAAATAAATTTAATAAAGACCACAGACTTACTGTTTTCGCCTCCAAGGAACAGCAAAATATCGCCAAGCGCCGAATTCATGAACTATCCAAGCCAAAATTCCCGTTTGCACCACCTGTTGTTCACATAATATATTAGAGTCAAAGAATAAAGTCAAAGAATAAGAGTTTTATAAATGTTGGTTATTAAATTATAGTCTAGATGACAGACTTACACTTTTCGGTTTTTAGGCTTAGCAAAAATATCGCCAAGCGCCGAATTCATGAACTATCCAATCCAACATTCCCGCTTTCACCACCTGTGGTTGATATCACATATTAGAGTCAAAGAATTATAGTGCAGTTTTACAAATGTTGTTAATTAAATTTATCGGTGTAATTGATGTGCTAAAAAATTAAAAAACTTCAAAAATGAAGATATATGTAAATAAAAACATAAAACATAAGCATATAATAAATATACACATACAACAAGTGCACTGTAAGCAACAAACTAAATTGTAGTAGTGTTTAGCGAAAAAACACTACTTTATATTTGGTGTTTGAGTCACAACTACATAAGATTCAATCACCAACTTAGATCAAAAAACAACGCGATCAATTTTGAGGGTAGTGGAAAAAACGTACATCATAGACAAAACGCGTCACAAGATAAGGGTGACTAGGCCATAGTCAACCACGCTGGCCCAATGCGGGTTGGTTGACTTCACACATATCTTTGAATTTCTTCGCAGATATGTGCAGGTTGCATCACGATGTTTTCCTTCATCGTAAGAACGTCGAATAAATGTACATATGAAATTCAAAAATCGAAAAACACAATGGTACATGGTGAAAATCGCCACCGACGCTCTAAAAACAAAAGTTGCAGATAGAAAAGAAGCAAGGGAAAGGACGGGTGGGGGAATTGCCAAATGGCAAATAAAAAGTGGCGTATTCATAAAGTTTTGGTGTATATTAAGAGTCAAATGTAGAACAATGTATCATTCTTTGATGTATTCAAGGACGGCCAACGAGTAGACTTCTTTAGTAACTAGAGTTTTCAATTGATTATTATTTAACTCCTTTTGTATTTCTTTTGGTGTTATTTTTTTTAATTTTTAATGTTTTCTGGCTTAAAACTTTTCAAGTTTTTAATGCTTGTCATCATCTTTAATTTCTTTTTTCAAAACATTTTCAATTTGATTTTCTTTTAATTTCGCCTTTAGGTTGCTGCCACTGTCAACAAGATCTGTGGTCATTGGCGTATTTCAAAATAAATGAAATAGAAAACTATATAATATGTATTTCTACGGACCTGTTAGGTTAATCGTTTAAAATTATTGTTCGGTCTCTCAGTCATCATCCGCTTCATGTCATGGACGGGAATTCTAAACAATTTTGTTACTATGAATTTCCACTGTCAAAACACAAGTGTAAGAACATTTTTATTATCTGAACAATATTGTTATTATACAAGTGTCAAGACAGTGGAAACTCACCGTTGGTGGTCGCCCAAGCTCATCACTTGTCTCCATCTGCAAGACAAAATAACCTTCAACATAATGTACAAACAAGCAAGCCTGTTACTGCACAATTAAAGCACTTTATTCCCGGGGTATTTCTCTATAAATATGCCGCAAATACAGAATCGGTGAATACGGAATGGATTTTTTTTTAGGTAAAGTTGTTGTAAGATTTGTTTTATTATTTTATTGGACTTTTTATTATTATGTATGTACTGATTGGAACCGCAAATAACGGAATCATTTGTCGCGAATAAAGGAATTGGGTCGTTTTTTTGTTAAACCGCGAATAAGGAGCTTTTACTGTACAGTACCCTCTAGTAAAAGCTCCTCATACCAAAGCGCAATGCGGCTCCTACCAATGGATGGAACATGTAATATGTGTCAGCATTTAGAAATATACTTTATTTGAGTAACAAAGTTGATTTCATTCTGTTTAACATTCTCCAAAACACTTTATGTAATATTATTGTAAGATTAATTCAAGACTACGCATTAAAAATTAATTATAGTATAGACCACAGACTTACTGTTTTCGCCTCTAAGGAACAGCAAAATATCGCCAAGCGCCGAATTCATGAACTATCCAAGCCAAAATTCCCGTTTGCACCACCTGTTGTTCACATAATATATTAGAGTCAAAGAATTATTTTCGAGTTTCACAAATGTTGTTAATTAAATTTATCGGTGTTATTGATGTGCTAAAAAAATTAAAAAACTTCAAAAATGAAGATATATATAAATAAAAACATAATACATAAGCATATTATAAATATACACATACAACAACTGCACTGTAAGCAACAAACTTAATTGTAGTAGTGTTTAGCAAAAAACACTACTTTATGTTTGGTGTTTGAGTCACAACTACATAAGATTCAATCACCAATTTAGATCAAAAAACAACGCGATCAATTTTGAGGGTAATGGAAAAAACGTACATCATAGACAAAACGCGTCACAAGATAAGAGTGACTAGGCCATAGTCAACCACGCTGGCCCAGTGCGGGTTGGTTGACTTCACACATATCTTTGAATTTCTACGCAGATATGTGCAGGTTGCATCACGATGTTTTCCTTCATCGTAAGAACGTCGAATAAATGTACATATGATATTAAAAAATCGAAAAACACAATGGTACATGGTGGAAATCGCCACCGACGCTCTAGAAACAAAAGGTACACATAGAAAAAAACAAGAAAAAAGGGAAAGGACGGGTGGCCAAATTGCCAAATGGAAAATAAAAAGTGGCGTATTCATAAAGTTTTGATGTATATTAAGAGTCAAATGTAGAACAATGTATCATTCTTTCATGTATTCAAGGACGACCAACGAGTAACTTCTTTAGTAACTAGAGTTTTCAATTGATTATTATTTAACTCCATTTGTATTTTCTTTTGGTGTATTTTTTTTTTTAATTTTAAATGATTTCTGTTTCTAAACATTTCAAGTTTTTAACAATCGTCGTCAATCTTTAATTTCTTTTTTCGGAACATTTTCAATCTTATTATTCTTACAATTTCACTTTCATGTTGTTACCACTGTAAGCAAGATCAACTTTCATTGAAGTATTTCATAATGTATTAAATAGAAAAATATAAAAATGTATTTCTACTGACCTGTTAGGTTAATCTTGTAAAATTATTGTTCGGTCTCTCAGTCATCATCCGCTTCATGTCATGGACGGGAATTCTAACAATTTTGTTACTATGAATTTCCACTATCAAAACACAAGTGTAAGAACATTTTTATTATCTGAACAATATTGTTATTATACAAGTATCAAGACAATGGAAACTCACCGTTGGTGATCGCCCAAGCTCATCACTTGTCTCCATCTGAAAGACGAAACAACCTTCAACATAATGTACAAACAAGCGAGCCTGTTACTGCACAGTTAAAGCACTTTATTCCCGGGGTATTTCTCTATAAATATGCCGCAAATACAGAATCGGTGAATACGGAATAGTATTTTTTTTTAAGCAAAGTTGTACGAAGGTTTTGTTTTACTATTTTAGCGCAATGCGGCTCCTACCATTGGACGGTACGTCTAATATGTGTCAGCATTTAAAAATATACTACATTTGAGTAAAAATGTTGCTTTCATTCTGTTTAACATTCTCCAAAACACTATATGTAATGTTATTGTAAGATGGATTCAAGACTACGCATTAAAAATTAATTATAGTATAGACCACAGACTTACTGTTTTCGTCTCCAAGGAACAGCAAAATATCGCCAAGCGCCGAATTCATGAACTATCCAAGCCAAAATTCCCGTTTGCACCACCTGTTGTTCACATAATATATTAGAGTCAAAGAATTATTTTAGAATCTTATAAATGCAGTTAATAAAATTATAGTATAGACCACAGACTTACTGTTTTCGCCGCCAAGGAACAGCAAAAATATCGCCAAGCGCCCAGTTCATGAACTATCCAATCCAACATTCCCGTTTTCCCCACCTGTTGTTGATATCACATATTAGAGTCAAAGAATTATAGTGCAGTTTTACAAATGTTGTTAATTAAATTTATCGGTGTTATTGATGTGCTAAAAAAATTAAAAAACTTCAAAAATGAAGATATATGTAAATAAAAACATAAAACATAAGCATATAATAAATATACACATACAACTACTGCACTGTAAGCAACAAACTAAATTGTAGTAGTGTTTAGCAAAAAACACTACTTTATGTTTGGTGTTTGAGTCACAACTACATAAGATTCAATCACCAATTTAGATCAAAAAACAACGCGATCAATTTTGAGGGTAATGGAAAAAACGTACATCATAGACAAAACGCGTCACAAGATAAGGGTGACTAGGCCATAGTCAACCATGCTGGCCCAGTGCGGGTTGGTTGACTTCACACATATCTTTGAATTTCTACGCAGATATGTGCAGGTTGCATCACGATGTTTTCCTTCATCGTAAGAACGTCGAATAAATGTACATATGATATTAAAAAGTCGAAAAACACAATGGTACATGGTGGAAATCGCCACCGACGCTCTAGAAACAAAAGTTGCAGATAGAAAAGAAACAAGGGAAAGGAAGGGTGGGCAAATTGCCAAATGGCAAATAAAAAGTGGCGTATTCATAAAGTTTTGATGTATATTAAGAGTCAAATGTAGAACAATGTATCATTCTTTCATGTATTCAAGGACGCCAACGAGTAGACTTCTTTAGTAACTAGAGTTTTCAATTGATTATTATTCAACTCCATTTGTATTTTTTTTGGTGTATAATATTTTTTTTTTAATTTTAAATGATTTCTGTTTCTAAACTTTTCAAGTTTTTAATACTAGTCATCAATCTTTAATTTCTTTTTTCCGAACATTCTCGATCTTATTTTTCTTTCAATTTCACTTTCATGTTGTTACCACTGTAAGCAAGATCAACTTTCATTGACGTATTTCATAATGAATTAAATAGAAAACTATATAATGTATTTCTACTGACCTGTTAGGTTAATCTTGTAAAATTAAATTTCGGTCTCTCAGTCATCATCCGCTTCATGTCATGGACGGGAATTCTAAACAATTTTGTTACTATGAATTTCCACTATCATAACACAAGTGTAAGAACGTTTTTATTATCTGTACAATATTGTTTTTATACAAGTGACAAGACAGTGGAAACTCACAGTCGGTGGTCGCCCAAGCTCATCACTTGTCTAAAAAAAATTCCATTCCGTATTCACCGATTCTGTATTTGCGGCATATTTAAGGAGTAATAACCCGGGAATAAAGCAGCAGTGAAAGCTCTTTATTCCCGGGTTATTAGTATGTACTGATTGGAACCGCAATTAACGGAATCTTTTGTCGCGAATATAGGAATTGGGTCGTTTTTTTAAACCGCGAATGAAGGAACCGCGAATAAGTAGCTTTACCATACAGTACCCTCTAGTAAAAGCTCCTCCTACCAAAGCGCAATGCAGCTCCTACCAATGGACGGAACGTCTAATATGTGTCAGCATTTAGAAATATACTTTATTTGAGTAAAAATTTTGCTTTCATTCTGTTTAACATTCTCCAAAACACTGTATATATATTATTGTAAGATTTATTCAAGACTACGCATTAAAAAGAAATTTAATATAGACCACAGACTTACTGTTTTCGCCGCCAAGGAACAGCAAAATATCGCCAAGCGCCGAATTCATGAACTATCCAAGCCAAAATTCCCGTTTGCACCACCTGTTGTTCACATAATATTTTAGAGTCAAAGAATCTTATAAATTTGGTAAATAAAATTATAGTGTAGACCACAAACTTACTGTTTTCGCCTCCTAGGAACAGCAAAATATCGCCAAGCGCCGAATTCATGAACTATCCAATCCAACATTCCCGCTTTCACCACCTGTGGTTGAAATAAAATATTAGATTCAAAGAATTATAGTGGAGTTTTATAAATGTTG